CTCTCTCTCTCTCTCTCTCTCTCTCACGCACACAGACATGCGCATACACACACAAACACACACACACACGCGCGCGCGCACACACATACACACATTAGCCGAAAAATCCCCGAAAGTCTACAGAAATAAACCTGTTTTATAAAATACACATGTACGGTAAGTAAGTGTAAGGTGAAGGGAGTCATTCTTATTCTTGACTCTTTGTCTCCATTTGATGTTCATCTTTTGTTGTTGTGGTTTGTTTCTTTAAATGGAGAGAGGGTGGGGGTGTGCAAACTGTTTCTTCTCTCCTATGAAACATCTGTCGTCCTTATCTCCCCTCTTTCTTTCTTATGTTTGTTACTCTCTTGTAACACTTCTAACCTTCCGGCGCTCATATGACCTTATGCAGTAGCGAGCGCCGTAAAACCTCTACTAAAACAAATAAAACTGCTTCTCTCTTCTTCACGTACAATGTATTTGTCAAAAGTATTACACCACGGTATGAAATTGAAATAGCTTGCGGTGTTAGCCTTGGAAGGGATAATACTATTTTTTTGGGGTCGGTACGCACCAATCGCAATTCTTTGTACAGTAATGGCTAGATGGCTAGTAGTTTAACGTATCAATAAGTTCTAACCATATATCCGTCGCTGGTGGTTGGCGGATGTTCTGGTGTGGTTTGCTCTTTCTTTCCTATCAAACATCTAGCTAACCCCCGGGGCAGTGCCACTGATTGTAGTGTCTTTAGGCCATTCCCAAAGATGCTCATAACTGTGCCTGATCTGCAACAGGGAGCCGCTGCTTTTTCTTTGCTAACCCTAACTATCGTCATTTTTCCTCTACTTCTTTTGTATGTTTGTCACACTCTTAGTCTTATGACCCGCTATTTCCGGGGTGCCTTGAGAGTTGAGAGTCGGAGCACACTTTGTGCTGTTGAAGCTAGAGAGGTGAGCAGAGTAAGCCTGATTCCCTGTAAGGATTTCTCTGTTACTGTTGACATCCGCCCCGTGGCGCTCATATGACCTTATGCAGTTGCGAGCGCCGTCAAACCTCTACTAAAACAAACCTTAGGGAAAAATCAACTACTGTGCCAAAATACAGTTTATGCCGTTTTTGGCGCGTGCATGACTAAAACTGTGTTGATAGTGCTGTAAAACATGTTCGCAATCGATCAGCTTCATGTTCGCGCACGCACGCACACACACATACATGTACACACACACACACACACACACACACACACACACACACACACGCACACATGCACACACAAACATACACGCGGAAACATACACGTGGGTGATTGGAGGGTGCTCTGGTGTGGATTGCTCCTTCTTTCCTATTAAACATCTATTGTCCTTAAATCTCTCCTCCTCCTTTTTGTGTTTATTACCTGTAACGTAACTCACCTAATCTTCGACACTTATGACCTTATTTTGTTGCAAATGCCGTAGTAAAACTCTTACGAATACGAACCCCCC